CCAAATGTTCAATAGGTTTTTCGTTCTTTTGGCGCGTGGCAAAAACGAGATTGCACGTATTATTATATACAGTAATAGACACGCAGAGCCGTGCGGGGATGTACAATGCAAACCTCTTAAACTCGAGCATACTCGTACACTCGCAACCATACACGCGCAGACTCGTACGCGCACAACCACCCGCACACGTAACACGAAAAGCCTCATACACGGGCAACCACATGCAGCCATGTGGGCGCACAACCACATGCAGCCTCATGGGCAAGCAACCAAGTGAACCACAACCTACAATCGGAATGATGTGCATTCTATAAAAATAAAAAATTTAAAATAAAAATTTACAAATTAAAAAAAGGAAAAGCAGGGTCTTATAGCCGTATTCAGAGCAACAGTCAGGCAGCGATAATGACCGTGCGCTCTATCAGGCTGAATGAATACGTACGGTCTCCTCCTCCTCCTCCTCCTCCCCCTCCGACTGTTCCAATTTCCCCTCGCATATAAAAAAAAAAAATAATAATAATAATAAGAAATTCTAAAAAAATACCCACACTGGCTAGCAGGGGACTGAAGATAGCATGGCGGGAGAAATGCGCGATGGCGGGAAAAGGTGGGATGGCGGAAAAACGTGTGATGGTGGGAAAATGCGTGGGCCATGAACAGAAAAAAGGTCTGACGACGGCGAATGGTGCGACGACTGGAAAACGTGTGATGTCTAGAAAAGGTATGATGGCGAGTAGGAGACAGAGAAAAGAAAAACGGACGATGACAAATGCAAGAAAGACGGGAGGCAAGATAGAAGATGAGGGCTGAGAGTATCACGGGCAGATGCAGGGGAGATTAACGAAGGGAAGTGGGGGAGAGATGTAGGGCAGAGGGAGGCACGTGAAGGGAGATAGGAAGAGCAGGAAGGTAGGGAGGTAGGGAAGAGGTTGGCAAGGGAGGTAGGGGAAAAAGATAACAGTGTGACAAGACAAGCACGACGGAAGGCAACGGAGCAAAAAGACTTCTTTGCATAGCTGCAAAAAACGAGAAATGAATCTCAAGGAAGACAAAAAGCAAATGCAAACCGGTTCCACCATTGGGAGTTAGTGTAAGAAGAGAATAGCAATAGACTAGAGTGACCGCTAGGGATGGACACGTGGCACGACCAATTATAGGTAATACTGTAAAGCGGAAAGACGGCTTCCCACAACCCATGCGCACCAAGGCTTGGTTAATAAGACTACAATAATAACACTCAATGGCCTTGCCATTGTTAGAGACCCGGACCTGACGTCCGACTAATACGCTGACATAACCAATGTGCACAGCGACGATGCTCATCTGCTTCGTGGGCATGAGCCCTAAACGTAAACCCGGACACTGGGAGGGAGGAGAAGTAAGCACGGAAAAAATAAAGAGAGAGAGAGAGAGAGAGAGAGAGAGAGAGAGAGAGAGAGAGAGAGAGAGAGAGAGAGAGAGAGAGAGAGAGAGAGGGAGAAAGGCGCACATAGAAAGGGGGAAATAACGAGGGGCAGGAAGAAACGAGTAGACGAGTTGACTTGTATCAAACCTGAAAAATGGCTTGCATTCATTCACGATCGGGATGCGTTGTAATCGAGAGAAGATGGCAGGAAGGGACGACAAACCATGAGCAATTCAGAAGGGAGAAGATGAGTGAGAGTAAGAGGAGAAAGAGGGAGGGGAGAAGCGAGAGAGAACGTCAGAGACTACGGTAGGAGAGGGAGGGGAAAACCACAGGCAGAAAGACGGATACACCGAAGACATGCCAGCCAGTTAAGGTATCACGCGCAAGAGATGATAGTGGAGGACTACCTTCTTCCCCACAATAGAATGTACCGTCATTATCCCTGAATCTAGATTGAAAGTTGCCCCAAATACAGCAATAATGACCATACATTCTATTCGAGAGAAGACGGTGTAGCGATCCCGACACATCAGACACGGTAGGGGGCGGGGGGGGCCACGTAACATAAGTCCATGTTAAACGCCGCGATATGATGATAGCAGAGTCGTGCGTGAAGATGGGCAGACAAATACAAAGCATCGAACTACAACAAGCACCCACTTCGACGACAAACTGAAAAGAGAGAGAGAGAGAGAGAGAGAGAGAGAGAGAGAGAGAGAGAGAGAGAGAGAGAGAGAGAGAGAGAGAGAGAGAGAGAGAGAGGAGGAAAGGGGGAGAGAGAGAGAGAGAGAGAGAGAGAGAGAGAGAGAGAGAGAGAGAGAGAGAGAGAGAGAGAGAGAGAGAGAGAGAGAGAGAGAGAGAGRRAGGAAGGAGAAGTAGGAAACAGAAGAACCAAAGCAAAGGAGCATCACATACCTTCGAAGGATGACTAAGTGCCGGAGGAGTTAAGAAGACTGTAATCGGGACGACATGTAGTTAAGCCTTCGACGAGCCAGAACGGAATGGCTGAAGAGAAGAGATGGCAGCGCAATCGCGGGCGAAGAGACGGCGACGCAAACTGCCTCGCCCTCGTCGCATGACAGAAAGCGCCTCTCTCTCTCTCTCTCACATACACACACACACACACACATCCACACACACACGTCACGTGTAAAGGGCATCTGTGTGTGTGTGTGTGTGTGTGTGTGTGTGTGTGTGTGTGTGTGTGTGTGTGTGTGTGTGTGTGTGTGTCGCCTTGTGGTGCTGTGTTGTGAAAGTGGCGCATGCATCTGGTCAAGATCACGGCTGGGTGCACTGAAAATAGACGGAAAAAGAAGAGACACGCTCGATGAACTGAAGAAGAGAGAGGTTGACAAACCGAGAGGGAACGAGCACGACCGTCAGGGAACGGGTGCGCCCGACATCGTTTCGATTTCTCGACCAAAGGGCCTGCGTCCACGACGTTTCAGTTCGAAAATCAAGGCCCTAATGCCACGGGCAGCTACCGGTCCTGCGCTTGCTTGAACTGCCCCCCCCCCCCTAAATGCCTGTGGCTTTTATTTTTCCAGCCTTTCAACGACCAATGAGACCGAATGAACGACCGGTATAAGGAAGGCAAAACTTCGTTCACAAAAGCTCTTGCACAATTTGTGGATGGCGCCGTGTGACCAGCGAAGTACCAAATCCCCATTTGTCCAGACTGCCGCAACCTTCTCCCATCCGAAAAGGTACAGCAGTCCGAGCCGAAGCACGCCCAAAACCTCAAATCCACACACCTGGAAACGGACTTGAGGCCCCGAGGCTTCCGGTAATTATCCGAGGTTTGACGCGGACGCCTGCGTCGGGGAACGATCCCTTGGGAATGACGTTTGCCGAAAATCCGCTAGGGTTTCACACTACTGGAATGCTCTAGGCCTGGGGGGAGCAGTTGGCACGCATAGTGCTCTAAGGGTCTCGTTAGACACTCCTAAAAGTTCCTGGTTTTAGGATTGCGTCTTCGTTGCACGCAATCCTAAATCCAATTTCGAGATCGAAAATGTGAAAACGACGTTAGGACCAGTCCTAAAGGATTTAGGATTCCCGAGGCAAAATCGTCCTAAATTTTCCAGTAGCCCCCGATCTACTGAAAAATTCAGGATTCCCGCGTTTCACGGACTCGTTGCGTCGCGCGCATGGCACCGTCGCCACTGGGTTGCTGGTCCAGGAGCTGTCTGTCGGGTGGGTGGCCGGACATCGGAGGTTTTCTGTGGGTCGAGGCCGGCAACGACCACCAGCGGTAGCGTTGGCCGACGGGGTGCAGCACGGGGGGAGGCGACCGTGGACGGGCTGGCGTCCGTAGTGGATTGTTGGCTTGGTTGCGGGTGACGGAGGAGGACGACGATGTGCATGGGACACCGTACGAAGGCGTTTGGGGCGGTGCGCGGGTGGCAACAGTCGATTTTCGAATCGCAGGCAGGCAGCTTTGTCGTCTTCTGTGCTGGTTGTCGGCATATGAAGGTCGAGCGGCCCTTCCCCCGACATGTTGGAACACTCTTCTGCAGTAGTCGCGTGCGAGGGTGGCTTTCGAGGTGAATTTCGTAGCTGACGTGCAGAGGAGATTGCCTCTGCTCGTACTCGGTGTCGTCGTGTTCCTCATCGTCGTCTTCCTCCACGTGTGTTTGTCGTGGCGGCCGTGGAAACAACATCGCAAGAGGAGGGCTTCAACGAAACGGGCGGCAGGGGAACGTCCGATGGCGGGCATGCAGGCACGCGCAGGTGTTGGTGCAGGTCAGGGCGGAAGACGACCTCTGACTGCGGAGCCTCCACAGCGGTACGACCCATCTTTGTACCGCCATCTAGAGTCGTGGGAGACGCCATTGCCCCCATCAGACGAGGTTCCGAAAACGGAAGAACTTCCAACGTTGCCTCTTGCCAGCGGGTAGACGCAGCTGTTGTCGCAGACGGTGCGAGCATGAGGGTCGGCTAGCAATGAAGGCGGCGAGTTCACCTCACTGATGCACCAAGGCTTGGGAGACGACGACGACGGAGGACTTGATCTCAGGTTCAGGTTGTGTTCTGGCAGCGCTAGGGAGGCGAGCCGCACGTTCATCATCGACGCCGATCCTTCACCACGTGGCGTTCAACAATCTGGAGGCAGCATACGGAGCACTCCACACTTCGTGGCGGTGTGTCCGTTACTGGCAGTGCCGGGCCATCGGCAGTAGGCCGGCAGCATGGATCGAGTGCACCGTCCGCCGATCAATTGACAAGTACCTGCCCCTCACACAATAGACTCGCAGTCGGGTCCCTGTGCATCGGCGGTGCACGTCCATCAATGCCCAAAAGCACAACACCGACCTCAGGGACGACGGCACGTGCAGACCAGCGGTGCGTCCAACACCCACTGTGGAGAACATCACACGAGGAGTGTCAAACATGCGGGTACACAGCGATGGCGGCGACGACGAGGGTGGTGGTGGTGACAATGCCGACGAATGATTCAGGGAGGACGTGGAAGCAGGGGACGACGACGACATTCCTATTCGGCCTTTGGGGAAGACGGGTGGGAGGGGGAGAGGACGCAACAGAGGTGCTGTTCGTGGTCGATCCGTTGGCCGTGGGGGCAGAGGTGGCGTCAACGACAACGACGGGAAGTCTGTGACGTACTGGTCTCCGGAAGAGCAAATGCAACTGGTGAGATGCAAGCGGGAGCAAGAGATGCACCTCGCCGGTCCGGGTCACAATTATGGGCGGATGCGGACCAAGGAGTGGAAGTGGGATGACATTGCGAAGCGCATGGCGAATGCGGGGAGGCCTAAAGACGTGGACGACTGCATGAAGAAGTGGGACAATCTCTTCCAAAACTACAAGAAGATACAGAGGTTTCAGAATGAGAGTGGCCGGCCAGATTTCTTTGGGCTATCGAATGAAGAAAGGAAGGAACACAATTTCAAGTTCCGGATGGAGAGGGCGCTGTACAACCAGATCCACGCAGGCATGCTGGGCAACCACACAATTTTTCCTCCCAACATCGCCGACACCGGACGTTCGGACGGGGTGCAACTGCCCAGGCGAGGAGCGGGTGCTGGGGAGTCTGTTGGTAGTGAGGCCGCTGGTGAGGGCTTCCCTGAAGAACGTTCTTCTACGAGGGACTCCGACAACAACGTAGCCAGCGGGGCTGGAGGCGGGAAGCGGAAGAATGCGCGTCAACAGGCATTGGAGTCGATTGCTGATGTCATGGACCGCCATGGCGAACTGATGTCGACGACGATCGAATCGTCTAGCAAGCGGCAATGCAGCATATTCACGAGGCAATGCGACATACTTGAGCAGGAAGTTGCAGTCCAGAAAGCGCACTACGCAGCGTCCGATGAGAAGCAGAGGATGATGTGCCACGCGCTTATGGAGATCGCTGCTGCCATCCGTGGTCGGTCGACGAGTAGGGCGCACGGTGTGTGTGTGTGTGTGTGTGTGTGTGTGTGTGTGTGTGTGTATGTGTGTGTGTGTGTGTGAGTGTCTGCGGGTGTCGTCCACACAATTGTATGGGTACTGTTTTTCTTTTTTTTTTTGGAGTGTGTGTGTGTGTGTGTGTG